TTGTGATTGGGTTCATGTGTAAGTTAATGCATTATGACGACTATTAGCATTCATATTGATGATAATTCGTTGTATCATAATACTTGTATATTAACTCTTCAAGATATTGGAAGAAATAGTTATTTTATCAATGGTTTCAAATTATTGAAGAGTGGAGTAGGCATAGCGAGGTTGGTTGTCGAACCACTATATATCTATGTGTACTCTCTTCCTCCCTGTTTCTATTTATTTTTCGTTATTCATCATGTAGTAGTTAAATCATAGCATAACTTGTATGTCATTTAGGTTAGATCATGCTTGTAGTGATTTATTCTATAAACATAGGTATGTGTTGCATGAAACCTATCGAGTTATGCTTAATTTGATTGCGTTAAACAATATGTCTATGCTGAGATGATATTTGCTTAGATTAAGCAACTTAAACTTTCCTAGTTGACTTAATTCATTGTTTGATCATTCTCTTACTGATAACATTAAAATACATTGGTTAGAATTCATAGTGATGAGATTTTATGCTTCCATTCTTTGTTGCTTTAGCTTCCGCTCACCAAACTCTGTTTTTTATATTGAAAGTTTTTAAATTGTTTTAAGAAAAGGATTGGTCTATTCAACCCCATTCTAGACCTCTTTCTTACTTATATTCTCAATCAACATGAATGTCTTTAGAAAAACTAGAATCATATAAAAGCCTTTTGAGCCTGAAAAAATGACAAATGTCACAAATAGCTTTATTATCATTCACAATTTAGGGATACAATTGAAACTTTTTGAAAAGTTTTTAATGAGACAAGTGACATAATCTAAAATGCTTTACGGATTGGATAGGTATTATTTTATCATTATTGACAGAAGTAGTAAATAAACTATGCTTGTAAATGGAAATGTTATTGGATCTAGCTAATAGTTTGGTGTATCATTAATTTGAGGACCATCGTCAATCACAAGTTTGTATGATCCTTTTCTTTTATAGACAATGGAGAGAATATGTCATCAAAAGAGTATAAGGGATACTCGCCCAAAATACAAAGTTAGGGCTCCCTAACTATACGAACGAATTAATACACCATAAATAAAAATTCTTACAAATTTTTGATTTCAATCCAAAGACTTGCTAGAACTAAAAAACACATTTAATTTGACTAGTCAAACCAGTCATCTCATGTGATTTCACATCCTGCAAGAGACATTTGTTATAAGAAAATTGAAAAAAACACAATTAACATATCAACACAACTTAGATAATGATATGAGATTTAAAGAGAAATCAAGAATATATAGTACATTTATTAAAGAGAGATGAGGTTAAAAATTAACGGTGCCAGCATATTTAGGTACAACAATAGAATCATCATGAAGACATACATTGACAAACCTAATCTTGTAATATGAACTAATCCCATGAAAGCAGGAGCTTACATCTAAATCTATGATCCAAAAATAAAATTTGGTGTTAATTGAACATAAGATAGTTGACACACTTGTTTGATTGAGATCTTGTCTGATTGATGATTAAATTATTAAATTGAGTGGAAGATGTGGAAATGTAATTTGAACTAGGAGTAGGATTACAGACATGTGCATGAGACATCAAATTTGTTTATTGTAAAAAATTAATCAATTGAGTGTATTTCTCTTAAGTTATACCAACTTGATTACCTGATGAACTTTCTTCTTTATTGTCAATCTGTTGTTATGCATCACCATTAACACCATTAGATGCATTAGCAGATAATTGTTTTTTTAACCAAAATTAAGTTGAAAAACATGTTTTCTGTAACAAATATATATGGTATGACCTGATATATTACAATAGGAGCATACTCTATTATCTTTCTTATCGTTGTTAGATCCATCAAATGATGAAAATGATCTACCACGATCATGCAGTTTCCTTGACTCATAAGCATTGATGAGTGCAGTTGGCTCTTCAAGAACAACATTATTATCAGTTTTAGGAAGTAAAAATACATTATTACTTTCTTATTGAATAAACATATAATAGATCTTATTCATTGAAGGCAAATGCTCCATTAGAAAAACTTGAGTTTTAACTACTAAAGAATTTCCATTAAACCTGTCAATAATTGAATTATCTGATCTTCAAAACGGAAATCGCATGCAGAACTCATTACTTCACATCTGCATTGATGATTGCATGTTGTTGCAGCGGTATAGTGTCAAGCAAAAAGTAAAGTATTATTTTATCGGGTGATATTTAGGTTATATCGTATCGTGACCATAGAGATTGATTATTGAATTGTCGTTCGACAAATCATTCGTTAACGAGTTTGTGGTAAATATGGGTTGGAAGTGAATGCGGGAATTTAAAGTTATTAACAGGAAATAAATTCATTCTTTCAAGGAACAACTTATCAAGCATGCATATAATCCACACCTCACAAACTTAAACCTATCGACCAGTTATACTCAACCTACAAGACTCGTCAATGTCATCACGTGTCAAACACTACACCCCCTATGTCATATCATCGGCTATCTCTCAACCAACCTTAACAACACATAAGTCAACAGTGCTACTCGCATTAACAATCTCTCAGTAAACACAACCAACACAAAGGCTTTAATCACAGACACCCAAGTGAATAATAACACTAAATTTATCTCTAAAATCCAGACACTATTAGACAACCATCTTAAATAAGAGTTCAAGCAGAATATGTCTATAGCAATTCAAACACCTAGCACAGAGCAAAAATCCAGGACAACAATCGACAAAGATTTGTAAAGTAAGTTTTGTATAACGCCATGGACGACAAATATACATAAGATCAAAGTAAGTACATATACAAACTCAACATATAAAGAATACACATAGAAGAAGAGAAATGAACCACAAATCTCCCGGTTTGTCAGCGTCGATCGAAGAGAAATCCACGCCGAATCATCCATATGCAAGCTTCAGTGTTGTTTTCTAATCTAAATCTAGATAAAAATGAGGGTTGATGTAATTGAGAGCAAAAACTATTCCCAAAATCATAACCTAACAAATGAAATGAAAATGAAATATATACAAAAGTCTGGTTCGCACGCGTCGCCCGGCGACATAAAGGCCTCGCTCGGCGACGGTTCCTAAACACAAGGCCCAGGTTGCACCACGTACGCAACTGGTCAGAAATATCTATCCTCGCCCGGCGAAGGGAAGCTTCGCCTAGTGACACAATGTTTTCTCGCCCAACGAGCTGCTGGCAAGCCCAAGTCAGTAGCCACTGGAAACTTCTTCTTTTCCTCTCGCCCGACGAGTATGACGTGCAAGCCCTTCGCCCAGGCTTCGCCCGACGAGTATGACGCGCAAGCCCTTCGCCCGACGAGGCTTGACAAACATCACTTCTTTATTTCTTTTCCTGATGCACAACAATGACTTTATTGCTTCAATCTTGCATCTTTGGAGCTTCCAATTGGCCATTTATTCCTCAATGCTCCAAACACACATAAATTTCTACAAAATAGATACAAAACTATCAATCGATACACTATGTACACACAAACGCAAATAAACACAAACTAAACGAATTTATACACAACATTGGATTATTCAGTCGATATTAACAACAAAGAGTCGATAAGTGCAACAAAAAGTATATACAAAAATAACTACAATTTGCACTTATCACATGTATGACTCGGAATAGGTCTATAGGAATTGAGTTCTTCCCAAAGTCCATGAATTTTGGTGAAATAATCAATAGCAGACTTGGATCCTTGCTTGAGATTGTTGATTTCAACACATAGATTTGTGACACGTATTCGATCAACTTTAGCAAAATCTTCCTGTAGATCATTCTATACATCAATAGCATTTTCCAAAATACAATTGTTTGAGCTATTGGTGCATTAACAGAGTTCAAAAACCATGAATGAACAAGATATTTACATCATTCCATGCACCTCTGTTGAGATCAGCAAGATTAGGGACGATAATGGACCATCAATGAAAGCTAATGTGTTTTTGGCACCAAGAGCTTGTTGCATTGAGAGTGACCATGAAAAATAGTTGGAACCATTCAATTGAAGTGTAATACTAAGAGAATTTGAACCTTTGCTCGGGTGAACATAATAAACTAAATCAGTGTCACCTTTAGAGATATGAGTTGTAGCAGGGATGGTTCGTTGTGGCATGGTGTTGGATCGAAGAAGATTTTGCAAATAAACTCAAAGAATAATAGAAATCAATTGAGTAGTTGCGACTGAAACCATATTATGAAATAGAAACTCAAGAAGCTCATAAACTTGAGCTTGAATAAATGAGCGAGATCAATGATTCTCTCTTACATTGATCAAAGAAGAACAGGGTATATATACAAGAGGATAAGTCATCATCATATTTAGTGAGTGTGCATCATAACCAACTAACTAATATTAGGTACTTGCATTACTAGGAAAAAGGATTGCATTCTGGTTGCCTTGTTATTTATAACACTTCGTTCGAAATTACACCATAGAGAAAAAAATAGTTTTTGTGAGCTTCCTTAAAAACTCAATTCTAAAGAAAAGAGTGATCTTCTTATTACATGGAAATTGAAAACAAATGGCCTAAAATAAAAACAAAGATTTAGTGTTCTTATCACATAGAAATTGAAGACATATCACTAAAGCAATAATAAAAAGGTTCATCGAACTCCTAGTTCGGGAGAGTATCTTGCCTTACAGAGTTTTCAATCCGGATGCGCTTGCTTCAAACTTTTCGTCAATCGGGAGAGAAAGATATAAAGCAATTGAACTATATAAAGAATAACACTTTCATAAAAATAATAATCACAGTTTCAGTAACAAATAAAAACAGAAGAGCAACTATTGCTATTGGTACATTTATCAACTTTAATTTCCAGGAAGAGATTCAAGATGGAACTCATGAGGAATGCATTCCTTATTCTGTCTCAGCCTGCTGTTCTGTATATATGAATATTAGTGTTATTCTTACGAATGTAATGTACTTTTTCGGTTCTATACTTGAAGTGTAGAAGAAGAACAAACGCATCTATTTAACTTGGTGATGGCATGTACTTGTTCTCCAAGAATGATCTAAAAAGAATAAACGCTTCGCGCGGCTTATGAAGAGGAACCTCGTGTCCCGCGCCTCTTACTGTCACAAATGTGAGCCCTTTATAAACTTGGCTCCATCCACCAACCTTGCCACTGTTATACCAAGGATACCAACTGACGATGGTTGGAAGCTTCAATGCGTCGATAGAATATCGTGTGGCGCTTAGTGGAACTACAGAATCAGTATCTCCACTGCAGCCAAAATATGAGTTAAAGATTACAGAATACAATTTCATTTGTATACGATTTTGATTTAACTTGATACATGTATTTGGTCTAAACTTTGAATCAAAAACATATACGTTCGTACCTGAATACCCATATTCGTAGACTAGCATTGATAAGTTCGTGATATATAGGAAGCATAGACAATGGCGAATCAGTCCAATAATTACCAACAATATCACTGTCAAGAAACAAAATCATGACATTTTAAATTCGAAATTTGATAGAATCGTAGAACTCAATAGAACATGATAAATAGCATACCTGCATGTTTTCCATGTATATGGAATCCCTGTTACATTGGCATGAAGTGCCTTCTGAACATCTGGACGATTGAAATACAACTCAGAATACCTTTCAGTACACGGATCATACCCTCTTGACATCCATGGCTGTTTCGTTTTAGAAGATCAAAATGAATTAAGCACAATTTGAATGCATGCATTCGCAATAGATAAACCAGTTCAATGAGTTGATAGCATATAGAGGCTTACGTAACGACCGTTCAAGTTGCGTTTATATGACGCCGTATTGTTACAAGGCGGTGTATAAATGCTATATGGATCAATGTTTCCTTGCTCAGCAAGTGCGAGTCTAAGAGTCTGCCTACATTGCACTGATGGATGCTGAGATGATCCAAAGTCACATGCAATTCTTAGAATTTTATACGTGGAATCGGAAATCAAACCATGTGTCCACCAGTACTCAAATGTTCCAACATAATCATGATAATCATCGGTAACACCATTTCCAACCTGTAGCAACAGTCATAGAATTGTAATAAGCATTTACACAGTATTTATTCTCGAACCAAAACACGCGATCCTAGTTGTGTCTATGTTAACATAAAAGATCAAGAATCTTACCATAAAGCCCTTAAAATTGATAACTGGATTATTGATTCCTTTATTTCTCTGGTAAACAATTTGAGACAATTGAGGAACATAATGACCTGATAAATCATACTATAACTTGTAAGAAACTGAATAATTCTTCATTGTACAACACAGCGAAGTAGAAAACCAATGCATAAATTATCAAACATAGATTCACCTGCATAACTTTCCCCAGCAATGTAGAAATCTCTATGCTTATACTGAGGAAATCTTTCAAACCAATTAACAAGAAAAATATATGCATCCTCAGCTGCAAAGTCAAAACAAAGCCAGATCTCAGATCATTACAAACTTATACATCACAGACACGACACGACACTTATACATGTAGTTATATTCAATTGTTGCATTTTCTCAAATTATTAGTGTCTATGTGTTGATGTCGATGTTTGTATTGGTGATTCATAGTCACAAACTAAACTACCTGTTTTCTTGTCACCAAATGTGTACAGATCTGTTGTTTTATTACAATAAGAAAAACCAACGCCAGCTGGAGAATCAAGAAACAGTATATTTGCCACTGCAACATTCAAAGTTACAATCAGACATAAATATTGGGGGAAATGGATTATTTTTTTCAAACACAAAACGAATCGAAACGACCAGGGTTGAATCCGACAATTCAACTTACAATTGTTCCAAGCATAAGGATTCAAGGAAAGTGATTTGCCATCAGACTTAATATGAAAAGGGCCAATTTCCTCGGAAGCACCATAAGCAATAGAAGAACAACCAGGACCACCATTAAGCCATAAAACCAGTGGCCTTGAATTTGGTCCACGGCTCAGTGGAGCTTCAGTCAACCAGTAAAAAAGTGCTCTTCCATTCTGTTCATTCACAGTCACATAACCTGAATACTGCTCAAATCCAACATTCCCTTGTTGCCCTGGTAACCCACTTATCTTATCTCTCTTTTGATCTTCAATTGAAGAAGCCAAATAGTTTTCAATGTATAGAAACAAAACAACACAGAATATGTAATAATAAAAACAACCCATTATTCTATCAATCAATCAAGTTTTGCAAAAACAAAAAATGAGAGAACCAATGGAATCAAAGACCAAATCTAGCAACACACATCCCAATACAGTGATCTAAACTTCAATCTAATCTATTATAATCTAATCTAATGCCATGTGAAAGAAAGTAGGAGGGTTAAGATTGTTAAGAGAGAGAAAGAGTGAGGAAAGAAGAGACATAAAAGTGTGGTATATATGAACAAGAACAACAGGTACAAAAAATAATGCTTGTAATAATGAGTTGTTACCAAATTAGCAACAACCATGCATTTGGTCTTAGAAATCAATAATGAATGGTTTGAATTTTCTTTGTTGTTTGTAGACTCATTGTTGCATGTTATGCATTGTATATTATCAAGATAGTTGAGTGGAACACATGGGATTTCTCAAAGTTTCCGTCTTTGTTGTGGCTAAGATGAGTCTTTTTCATTTTTTTGGAGTGCATGATAATGTTAATAACATCATTATTGAGGTTTTGAATTGTGATTGGGTCATTGTCAAGGTCAATGCTAGTTTATGCAATTGTAACACTTATAATGTGAATAGTTTACATTAACAATTCATATAACTAATTAGATTACTTTTTTTGTTGTCTAAATAATTAGATTTCTAGTTATATAATTTATTTGTTTTAATTGATATAAGCTCAATCATAAATTAATGTGGGATGACCTATTTCTATAATAATGAAAGGTGATGACTATCATTGACTACCACTTATCTCTACTTATTGTGTTTAAGATTAATTTCTACATATTATGATTTATTATTTTGGGTATAGTGGTTATTTGGAATTTATGAATGTATTATTTTATGACTTGAAACGGCATGTCCATTTATTTATTTTTGTTAAAAAAAAAGCATTTTATTTTACCATTTATTTTGAGATCTTGTCTTTTGGTTGATTGACTTGTGTGATCAAGGGAGTCTTTTAAAATCCAAACAAAATCGATCGGTTGGATCGATTAGACTTTGAGCAGGAAGGTAGGGCGACATAAAAATTCAAAAGATCAGATATATAATTGATCAGGTAAAAATCGGTGTGACCTATCTGATTCACCAATCAAACAAGATTTCAGCGGACTATAAATTGGGGCAAGAAATTATACAGGAGTATTTTCTCCTCTTCAAGGTTGATCAGATTAAGTCTAAACGCGAAATAAATAATTTGTGAATTTTAAAAGCATGTCGAGAAATCAGAATCTCTTGAGAGAGAATTTTGTCGCCTATTATGGTCATCCCCAACTCGAGGGTTAGTCTCTACAGTTGCACAAATTTCAGCAGTCAAAATCATTTTTCTTCCTTATTGTAGGACTAGATTTTGTTATTCAATTTCATTGTTATTGATGAATTGACTTCTTCCAATTGCATTCTGGTTATTGTTCAATTTTAATGTTACATTTTTCGTTTTGCGTTTATCATTTGCTTAAGACTTAAAAATCATTAGTTTATTTTTGTTGGAATTAAGACTCATACTTTAGGGAGTTTTTGATATGAAATGATAGTTAAATAGTAATAATTTTGTCTTACCACTTATAAGAATGATAATTTATTATCATCTTATATAAATTTGATTCCTGAATTCTTTAATTTTTTTAGTTTGATTCTATCGTGTATATTGAAAATTAATTTGAATTTTATAGAAGATTTGTTTAGATTTTATAATCATAATTTTTATGTTATCTAATATTTTTATTTATTTTTATATATTGGATCAACAATCATGTGGTTCGACCAATGATCCATCGGTCTGAACAGTGACTTAATTATCAGATACTTTGATCAAATTAATTATGTCTCCGGGTTTTAAAACAATAGACCAAGGTGTTCATGGATCGGGTCGATCCTTGAACTTGTAGACCCAACCAAAACAACTCATAAATTATCCGAATCTATTCATTTATGGTTATTACCCAACCCAACCCAACTCACAATAACTCATATAATTTTGATTCGAACTTGAGTTTCTCAACCTCTTAATGTGCATTAGCAATTTCTTGTTTTTTATTATTATTTTAAGGGTTAAATATGCAAGGGGTCCCCAAAAATACCACAACATTCAATTTAAGTACATCAAGAAATTTCCTTACAACAATGATCCTCCTAATCTTTTTCGTCCAAAATATTAGTCCCTCCCGTTAATTCTCCTAACAGAAGCTGGTGTGGGGTGTCACATGAGGAAAAAAATTGACACGTGGAAGTGACATTGGATTATATTATTTATATTTGTTTTATGTTGATTTCTTGAACAAATCTGAAACATTTTGGTAATTTCTTCTTCTTCCTCGCAAACCTAAGGGAGTTATCTTCTTCTCTTGCGTAAACTTGTTTCTCTACAACTTGTTTCCATCAACCATTTGAAGCAAACTCGTTTCAATGGTGTCTTCGATTACAAGGTGAAGCAAACATGTTTCGTTTCATTCCACATCTATGAGTAGCCACATCTTTCACTAGGTATGTTATCACAATGTTCATCATCTGCCTCACTATCAAGTTCATCAGATATATAGTCTTCCTCGATTATATATTCCATACTCATCTCTTGTTTGATAAAGGATTTGTTAAGTGGTTCACTTTTGGAATCACCATTAATAACAATTGTAGCTCTAAGTTAGTCTTCATTCATACCTACATTAAAACCTTCATCAAACACATTCATCCTCTCCTCATCACTATCATCAAAATATAGACCCTTTATTGATTCATCACTTTATTCAATAGAATTAACAACCTCTTTATCACACTTCTTTCCTTTTATTTTCTCTCTAACATTATCCATAAATGTGGCTTCTCATGTAAGTGGTTTTGACTCGGTATATATTTCTACTTCACAATTATTTCCAAATATAAACACATATAACTCAAATGCATCTCCATTATCCCTAAAGGATTTTAAATCTTTATTTAAGCTACCACCATCATGTTTCCACCATATTTTTGCAGCTCTAGCATCAAACTCAGAGTCAATCCCCTTAATTAAGTCATGTGCTTCAAAATACCAATAATCCAGATCTTGACCACTATATGCATAAACATCTCCACCTTACATCTTAAGTTATAGTCTTTTACAAAAGAATCCTTGGTATAGAACACAACCTTAAATAACCTCATGTCCTATACATTACACTCAGGATCAAATTTGTACAACTTAAGCCAAATACAGTTTACACAAAAAAACTCAAAAATTGGCACACATTAAACAATCAAAACCTCAATTACTACATAAAAGTTTAAGTGATGGATCCATAAACCCTAAACTAATAATCAACATAAAAATAAAAAATTTAGTATAAAAAAAGTAAACAAACCTAAACTTCAGAGTGAAAGACCACAACAAGACCACAAGACGTGCTTTTGAAATGTCTTAATGGGACCACCACAAGCTTTCAGTAAAATGAATAGGACCACCGCAACAACAAATCAATGTTTTTCCCTTTTCTTCATAAACGGCTTCAAATAAAGAAGAAATCAAACAACGTTTCAAATGGTGTTTCAAATGGAAAACACGTGTCAGAATGCATAAGAACTAGAAGACATTTTTGACTTTGTAGGGTTTGAAATGGTGAAGGCTCAAGTGGTAGAATGATAATGAAATAGTATCTGCGACGTTTGGTTTACCAACTTAATCAAACTAATCTATTTTATAATCCATGTTGGAAAAGTCAAGACGTGCCAAGCTGTAAAAGTTATGTCACATGTGATGCCACGTTAGCCCTCGTTAGTGGAAACTAACACGAGGGACCAAATTTATGAAAGGAAGATGTTTAGAGGACCATTGTTCGAAGGAAATATTTATAAGGACTAAAATTGAGTAGTGGTCTATTTACAGGGACTAAAAATATATTTAACCCTTATTTTAAATGAAAAATATAAAATTAATATATCACTATAAATCACAATTTTTTCAAATTTATTTATTCTCCATCAATACTACTACTAGATCAATAAATTTACGTATTTTAAGACAATGCATTATTTCTTATTTTCTTTTGTATCATTTTCAATTAGGACAGGATTTTGGGTCGTGCAACCTGGCTCGTTGCATAGGGCCTCCAAATAATTGGGGCCTCAAATTTTTAAGTCATAGTCCTTATGAAGTATAAAATAAAATGTGTACATAGGATGTTTTAAAACATTTAACAATTGAATGAAGCACTATAGTGGATAAGTAAGGTTCATTTGATGAACATAACATAGGTTCAAGCCTTGCTGGTGTCAATTTTGAATTAATTTTTCTCAATGCATTGATCAACTAAATATTTATATCAATTTGAACTAATTTTTGAATATTTTATTAATTAGTCAAATGAGTTTTTTATCCAAATAACCAACCTTTTCAATTTATTTCCTAAAGTAACCCACTATTTCCCAAAGTAAATCAGTTTCAAACAAAAAACTTGGAACGCTGAGTTGTTTCCAGTTGAATTGGTGTTAGCATTGTAAAAGTAAGAGGTGTTGTCAATTGAATTGGAAAATGCAAGTGGTCTAGACATTCTAATTGGTGTCTGCATGCATGCATTAGGCGCTAGCGCCAATTCAATCAGTGCATGTATGCAATACTAAAGGTTGCGCCAATTTAACTAGCAACGATGTGTTTGATGTTTTTTTACTATAAATAGAGGTGTCTTCTAACATTTACTTCATACCTCTTGTCATATTTCTTCTTTTCTTATCTTCACTAGGTCTATCATAATTATTAAAAGAAATGGACATGCATTTTATTCGAGAACGAAGCCTCTAATGAAAATGCTTTTTTGGAACATCCAAAGTTTTAAGCATCTTGAAAGGAGTTTGAACAGTCGGTTAGATGGAGAGATTAATGATGGAAAATAATTAAAAGTATGGAGAGAGTTGTTTCGTACATTTCAATTGTACATGACAATAATATTTTGCAGCATATGTGGGTGCGAGTTGAAGATGGCACTTATGTTAGAGTTATGATGTATGCACAAGATGGTATTATTTTGATTATTGTAATA